CTCCAGAAGCCCTGAGTTCAAATCTGGCCTCAGACACTGTCTGTATCACCCTGGGCAAGTCACTTAACCTCTGTTTCCCTTAATCCGCTGGAGTAGGAGATAGCAAACCACTCCAGTGTTCTTACCAAGGAAAACCCAAATGGGGTCACAAATAGTTGGACACGATTGAACAACAAACAGGTTAGAGATAATGAGGACCTGTATTAAGGTCTTTGTGATGTGAAGGGACAAAAGAGGATGGATGTAAAGGATTCGGAGTCAAGCCAACAAGCATTTATTAGGCACTAACTCTATACCTGGCATTGTGCTAAGAAGCAAGAAAAAAGTTAGTTCTTGCCCCCAAAGAGCTTACATTGTAATGGAGGTGAGTAATCCATAAAAAGGAGCTGATAAGGGTGTGGGGATGTGGGGATGGGGGATGGAATCTGGCCTCCCATGGAATAGAGGGGAGGAGAGCCAGTAAAGAGTTATGACAGGCCTGTGTTTCCCTCCTGGATGACTGGAAGAACAATGGGGCCCCTGACACACCTGGGGGAACTAGGAGGAGAGATAGGTTTGGGGGAAAGGTAATGAGCTTTCTTTTGGATAAATGTTTGAGATGCTTCTATAAAATCCAGGAGGAGATGCCCAGCAGGCAGTTGAGGTGCAAGGACCAGCTCAGAGGAAAGACGAGGGCTGGAGAAGGAGATTTGAGAATCATCTGCACAGAGATGATAGTTGATAACTGACCCCATGGGAACTGATGAGAAAAAGACAGAGAGACAGAGAGAGAGGAGAGAAAAAGACAGAGAGAGACACACAGAGAGACAGAGAGAGACAGAGAGAAAAGTGAAGTCCAAATAGGGAGAGAGGCATTCGAAAGACTAAACCAAAAATAAAAAAGAATCTCTCAATCAAGAGATTTCTGCTGTTTCCAAATGTTAAATTTTTAACCACTGGAGGCATTGATCTCCACCGTTCTGATCTCATTTAACTCAGCTCATTTGAGTATGGAGCATCACTTCCATCTTGGCAATTTGCCCATTCCCTGCCTGGCAGAAGTGCCGGGGGTGTGCTGAGCCCTTCTCTGGTCTTCAGAGTGCACAGGCCTCTTTCTCTCTGTCTCTCTCTCTCTCTGACTCTGTCTCTGACTCTCTATCTGTCTCTTCCTCTGCATCTCTCTCTGTCTCTCTCTGTCTCTGTCTCTCTCTGTCTCTGACTCTGTCTCTCTCTGTCTCTGACTCTGTCTCTCTCTGTCTCTGTGTCTCTGTCTCTCTTTTGTCTCTCTCTATCTCTCTCTCTCTGTCTCTCTCTCTGACTGTCTCTGTCACTCTCTGTCTCTCTCTGTCTCTGTCTCTCTGTCTGTGTCTGTGTCTCTGTCTCTCTCTTGTCTCTCTGTCTCTGTCTCTGTGTCTCTGTCTGTCTCTCTCTGTATCTCTGTCTCTGTCTCTCTCTGTCTCTCTGTCTCTCTCTCTTTCTCTCTCCTCTTTCTCTGTTGACTTGGTGGGACATGTAGATGTGTGGATTCATTCAGAACAGGGTCAGCTGTGAGCCCCCACACAACCCAGCTTAGGCACTGTCTCCTTTTTGTATTGGCTATGCTCGGGGTTCCCTAGACATGTCACCTCAGTGGAATGAGTTGACTCTCCATAGAAACAGAAGAACGTATTGGGATAATGTCTTGTAGTTGTTTTTACTCTTAGAGCTGACAAGTTAAACATTACATAATTATTAGCATACCATGCGTATTAAAATCTGGGGAGACCCGGCGGGTGCATTGATCTGGACCCAAGAGATCAAGATGTGGCCAGTCTGTGTCTGTTCATTCCCCGTGTGCATGTGGCAGCTTGAAAACAGCAGAGATGTGTAAACAAGAAGATGTGTTTGACTTAGATATCCAGCAGGACCAGCCTTTAGTAAACTCTAGAGGAATTCTGGACCTGGGGTTCATGGCTGGGGGGGTGGTGGTTGCACTTGGGCCCTGGATGGGTTCAGGAGAAGACAGAACCATTCCCCCTTCCCCAGCCAGATGATGGTGGTTGATCTCATTCCCTACTGTCCTGGCTCTGACAGGACCCTCTGACCTCTGGTAGCTGCAGGCAGCCCTCACAGAGCAGGAGGAGCAGACTCATGTCCAGCCTAGCAAGGCACAAGCTGCCTCCACCATGACCGCTGGTGTCCCTCTCCTTGACCTGGAGTTGAGCAGTATTTGCTGCAATTTCCTGTGACCACCCGCTCTCTAGTTCTACAGACAAAAGTCCCCTTTACTGGGCTCAGCATCGGGGAGGGACAACTCCAGAGTAAGGGAGATTCACAAAAGCAAGGAAATGAAAAGCCTGAAATAGATGCACTTCGCATGCCATCTTGTTTCCCATCGATGTATGAAATTGCTTGGGGCTTGACGTCTAAGAAAGGTCAACAGTGAAGAAGGCTAAGGATTTTCCTATTGGCCGAGCACGCAGTGAATCACCCCCAGCCCTTTGATCTTGTCACCTCTGAAGTTACGGTTTAGGTATGGATCACATATTTTCGTAGATGTGATAACAATGTTTTGATAATTTTAAGAGGAGGTCAGAGAACCATGAAGTAAAGTTTTCCAAACAGGAAAGAATAACGAGCTCCTTGGTTAGTGACGGTGTTCTGTTGTGAAGGACGGATGCACGATGATGACAGCCTTTGGGTGGGCTAAGTTACAAATAAGTGCTTGTTACCTTGGATTGGAGGGATTGGATGGGTTTGGGTCCCTTCAAGGAGATGCGCACTGTTGGAGATTCAGTTACATCTAGGGGCTGCTAAATCCAAACAAATGACCACAGCTGACAGGAGGAATTTTGTTAGGATCTTAATTAATGTCAGACTATTGCTCTTCTCTCTTTATGGGCAGAAGCCAGGCAGCCAAGTGTCCAGATGAGCTGATGTACAGTGATATGGAAGCATTGGTCATTGGCTTGCATTGTCCCAGTCAGTCCCCCAGCAAGCATTTATTAAGCACTTACTGTATGGGGCACTGTTCATAATAATTTCCATTTATATAGTAACTTGATGTTTAATAGATGGCCAGGCTTGGAGTCAGGAAGACTGGGGTTGAAATCCTGCCTCAGACACTCATGAGCTCAGTGAGCCTGGCCAGCTGGTGGGGCAGTGAAGAGCACCAGGCCTAGAATCTAGAAGACCTGGGTTTAAATCTGGCATCAGACAGTCTCTCTCAGGTTGCCTTTCCATATTCAAAATAAATACAAGGTAAATTCTAAAGGGAATAAAGGTGCCGACAGCTGAGGGGATCAGGCAAGGCTCCATGTGGTGGGGGGGGAATCATTCAAACTGAACTTTGAAGGAAAGTAGGGATTCTTAGGGCAGGAATTGTGGGTATTAGGCACAGCTTATGCAAAATCATGGAGATAAGAGATAGAATGTTAGGGCTGAGAAGTAGCAAGAAGCTATTTTGGCTGGGCTTAAGGGTGTGGGGAAGGGTTTTGTTTGTATAATGAGGCTGGTAAGATAGGCTGGAACCAGGTTATGGAGGGCTTGGAATGCCAAAACCAGGAGTTTGACCCTTAAGGGAACAGGCCCCCATGAGCTCTAGTACAGTAGTGATCAATACTTCCTTCTGGATTGGCTAGCGGAGGTAGGCATCTGCACTTGGGGAGTGGCTGAACAGTGAAATGTGGACACAGGTGGGTTAAGCATTGGCCGCAGGGCCATGTATATGAGTTGGGAATCAGAAATCTTAATTTTCACCCCTATTAAATGCACTCAGTTGGACTGCTCCCCATCTCTGTGTCCCAAGAAGAAGTTCTGGATTGCCGAGTTGCCAAGAAAGTATGGACCCCGGATTTTCTCCTGTGCTTTCATTTATATTGACAAGGAGAGATGACGGGGTTCAGGAATTCTAATGCATGATGGCTACAATGGGAGCACACAGAATCCCAGTGACCTGTGTTCTGGGCCTGGGAGGTACAGGTGTGTGAGCACTGTTTGCTCATTTGACATTGGACACATCTGAGATTCAGAGAGATGGACTTCTTCAAGGTCACGTAGAAAGTAAGGGTCAATGATGGTGCCTAAAACTTTGGCCCAGGACTCCAGACCAGAATATCAGAATGATTTCTAAATATTGAACATGCTGATTTGTGTGAGCTGGTTCAATCCGGGTGGCTTTTTTCTCCTTTATGAAGTGACTTCTAATGTCAGGATATGTGATTCCAGGGTGAAAGGTACAGGAACCCTTCAGAGCACTCCCACGGAGTGGCTCCATATCATCTGCCCATCATTAATGAGTATTTGGTGCCCGTGCCTCCACCACCGTCCCCAAGAAATGAAAAGATGATCCACAGAAGTCGCATCCAGGCATGGAGAAGACGAGTTCGACCAACCACAGCCCCAGACATCCCGGAGCCTCACAGGGTAATTACTGAACCAGTTTGTTTGCAGCTTTCCAGGGTGTAGAGCTATATTTTTCAAGGGCACAGGGAGAAAATTGGGGTAATGATATGCACAGTGACCAGTGCAAAGGCATGGAATAAATTTTCTAAATGTAAGTGCTGACTCCAGTGCAACGGAAATGCAGGCTGTGGGCGGTCCACTTGCATCGCCAATTCAGTGTGTTCAGGAAGAGAATTGTGATCAAAATCATCACAAAGGTAACTCAGTAACCCAGCCCCGCTTCCAAATTAACCACTCGTTTGATTGACTCGTACTTTAGTAAGGCGTCAGAAGTTTCTGCTGCCTTTGAGTCAAACATGGAAGTTTGTTTTTAATGAGGCAAAGCCAAGTATGACCCTTATCATGAAGAGTCTCTTCTTCTGTTCTCAGTAGGCATTAATTACATTTTGTTAGACTTAGTCCATTAAAATACTGCGGCGGGAATGAATTTAAGATCCAGGTAAACTTCTAATAGGCACAGTCTGTAGGAAGCAAAATGACCTTCTCTCTCAATTTAATTGTATGTTAAATTCAAAAAGAGTGAGAATAAGAGCTATAACTTTACTTACTAAAATAAACAGAAATTGCTGCTGAGATTCCACTGAAAGAAAACGAGAGAAGAAAATCCCAGTGTTTTCGTAGTGTTTCAGTTGATTAGACATAATGCCTTAAGCACAGAGTTGAGTAATGGCTTCCTCCTTTTTCTTCCCATCTTTTTCCTGCTTCTTCTCTTCTCCCTCCTTCTCTTTTTTCTTTCTTTTTTCTCTCCTCTTCCTCATCCTCTCATCCTTTTCTTTCCCTTTCTCTTCCTCCTCATCCTTCTTTTCCTCCCCTTCACTTCCTCATCCTCATCCTCCATATTTTCTCTTTTCCTCCTCCTCCTCTTCTTTTTTCTTCCCCTTCTCTTCTTCCTCATCCTTCTTTTCCTCCTCTTCCTCCTCATCCTTCTTTTCCTCCCCTTTCCTCCTCTTTTTTCTTCTATTCTCTTCTTCCTCCTTTGCCTTCTTTTCCCTTTCCTCCTTCTCTTCCTTTTTCTCCTTCCTCACTCTGTCTCCTCACCTCCTCTACAACTACAACCAACTGTTATTTGGTGCTTTGGAGTTTTCAAGACATTTTATGTATGTTATTTGACTTGATCATTACAACAACCCTATAAGGTATGTGAAAAAGATATTATTATTCTTATTTTACAGAAAAGGAAATGGGGTCAGTGTTATTAAGGAACTTCCCTATGTCAGAGGTGAAATTTAAACCCAACGGTTTCTGACTTCAAGTCCAATAATCTCTTTGCTTTACCCTGTGCTGTGACATATAGAATATCTTTAGGAACTTTGGATTAGGTGGCCCAGATATGGCACACATGTAAGAACTGAACTTTAAAGCATCGCTAAGTATGTTGAGCTAGAGAAAGCTTCTTCTGTGGAGCCTTTGTGTTTCTCCTCAGCAGCTGGTTATAGCCCAAGGCTCAGGACCCTTCCGTCCAAGATCTGGGGCCGCTCAGACCGGGTCTGATTTCAGGAGTGACCCTAAAAGGTTCGGTTTTAAATTTGTCTTGTTTCGTTATTATCATCCTGTTGGTAGAGCTGTCATGCCAATTGGCATCTCATTTACTGCAAGTGAATGAGGGAGCCAACCAGACTTTGACTGTGTTTTGGTCATTGTTCCTGCCTGAAGCAAGTGTTACAGACATTCCCCGGGATTTTGTGCCTCTCTGTGGCATGGTGGAAAGAATATCACATGGGGCCAGAGGACTGTGGAGGTGGCTTTTTGTCCCAGCTCTGCTGCAGCGATCTAAGCGGTCTGAGTGTGTGTGTCGTTTTCACTTTAGTTTCCCCCTCAGAGAATGAGAGGGAGGCCCGACAGGTTCTCTAGGGTTCCTTCCAACTCCAAAATCCCGCGATGGTGCATTTTCTCAATTGTCCAGTGTCTGGCTCTGCAGTCAGAAGGAGGAGGTGGCTCTTTTCAAGGACTTACAGGGCTGCCAGATGGGACTGTTCATGCTACTTGGGTCCAAAAGGTAGAGAATTATTTTCCTAAAAAAGGGATGGACAAGTCATGGTCTATGCGAGGTCAATTTCCCCACGTTGTCTCGACTCGCAGCTCCCTGCTTCCTCCCACTCGTACTGCTGAGTTACCTTCATTTGCGATCCCATCCAATTCATGCTGTGTGTATCTTGTTTGCACGTGGTCTCCCTCCTTGCACTGTGAGCTTCTTGAGGGCAAGAACCATGTTTTTGCCTTGCACTTAGCCCACTGCCCAACACACAGTCAATGGAGTTTATTGAGTATCAGTTTTAATAGGAGATGAAATGTTGCATCAGAAAAAATGGTGGACTTGGTGCTAGAGGACTCACTACCTCTTTGACCATGGGCCAGACTTACTTAATCTCCCTGTCCTCAGTTTCCTCATCTGTAAATGAACAGCTTACACTGGCGGTCTCTAGATGCCAATGTTCTTCTAGCAGTTTTAGACTAGACTTTCATTAGGCCAATGCAATGCTGATTGTTTGCATGGGTGCCCCTGCCTGGCCCCCCCCCCGTCTTCCTACGCTCGCACACAAAAACACCCAACAAAGGTGATGGACGGCCAGAACACTGGATGAGGCCTTTGCCAGCAGTAGAGATGCTTGTTTTCAGGAGTTCTCTGTGTTTGAGGAGAGGCATAATCTGTCCTGTCTCGTAATTTACTCTGATGACATGTGCTGGTGCTGTTGATCAGTCCTCTGTTCAGGCTCTGTGTGAGTCTCCAGTCAGGCCAGTTTCATTACGTTTTAGGCTCTGGACTGTATTCCTGGTGACAGTTTTCAGCCCTCGTGTGTGCTGAGTTTCAGGTCCTGTTGATTTTTCCTTGACTTTGTCTTAGAGAGGTGCAGAGTTCTAAAGAAAGAATCCTCAGAGATGGAAAGCTGGGATTGGGGTTGGAAGATTTTCCATTGGAGACCCTGTGGATTCTTCCCCTTTTCAAAGGTTGCTGAAGTTTTGTGGGATCTCTGGAGGCAACGCCCCCATGGCATCAGCGACGCACAAGGGCCGCGTCCCAAAAAACATTCAGTGTGTTTGCAGCCTGGGGTGTGCTGGAAGCCAATTCTGCCCATTGTTTTTTTTTTTTTTCTTCAATTTGTTAAAATAAAGCGGGTTAGTCCTTACTGCTCTGCGCAGCTGTGTCTGCGTATTTAGGAGCTGGCATGTTTTACTGCCTCTCTTCATCCCCGTCCCTTCTCTCCCCCACTGACACACACACACACCCCTGTGACTCTTCACAGGGTCAGGATTCAAACACACACTTTTAATATGAATGAATGAACCAATGAAAACTGAAGTAGGCGGGACCACGCTTAGGAAAGTGTCTTTGGGCCCCTCGTCTGAGTCTGCTGAGCCCCGGATGGAGGATCAGATGAGATAATGTTTGTAAAAGCCCTTAGACCAGTGCCTGGCAGATGGAAGGTGCTTAATGAGCGCTTATTCCCTTGTCCCCTCTCTCATGGCTGCTGGTCCCTGGGCACACCACTGTGAAATTCTTTGTGGATGGATGAAGTAATTCTCCTCTGACACTGAAGTGCTGTGGCGGGCCTGTGATCTCATCAGTTTAGAAGTCTCCTAAAACAATGCAGATCCCATGCTACCCATGGCCGCCCATCCTGGGGGACGTTGGCGGTCCCCATCTTCCCATGAGTTCATCACAGGTGGTCCACCCAGAGAGCCGGGGCCTCCATTTTGTCTTGAAATCAATCACATGAATATTTCTGAAGCGTCTACTGGAGGCCAGGCCCTGTGGGTGCAGATGTCATCAGTGGAAGGATCCCTCACCAGGAGCTCCTGTTCTAACAGAGGGGAGAGGTCAGTGCCTGGAGAGGTCTAGGCAGGATAAAGGTAGAGAATGACCGTGAATTGTGCAGCGTTTTTTCTTCAGTCCCCACCTTGCCCAGCTCTCCCTGATGTGCCATTTTCACACACCAGCAAATGAGCTTCTTGAAGGCAGAAACTACCCTCCTTGTATCTTGTACATCTGTGCCCCACAGTTAACGTAGAGTCAGTCAGTGCTTAATAAATGCGCGTTTCCTTCCCTCCTTGTGGTATGGCGCTACCAGGGGAGCATGGGGATGGGCTGTCCATCATACTGACCTCTTGTCATGTGACCCCCGTAGCTTCTCACAGTCCTATTCGGAGATGTTTCCTCTTTGCTTATGTGTCGTATTTGGCAGCCTGTTCACACCCACCAATGCCTCCGGGATTGGCCCCTGAGTGATGCCCCTCTGCCATGACCCGCTTTATCATTCTCACAATCTTTTGAAGTTGGCATCTCACAATTTACAGTTCACAGAGTGTTACCTGTATATGATATCCCATTTCCCACCTCAGTGCCTTCACACAGATGGGCCCCCATGCCTGAAATGAGAATGGTCTCTCTTCTCATCTCCATCCTTTACAACCCTTGGGTCAAGTCAAGGCTCTGGATCAGATGCCTCCTTCCCAAGGCCTCTCCTGACTTCCCCAGATCATAGAGTCACTGCATTTGAAAGTTGGAAAGGGTGTCAGTGGACAGCTGGCCCACCACTATACTGGAGGAGCCCATTACAGTATGCCCCACAAGGGGTCATTGATTGATGTGGCTGTTCAAAGGAGTTCATCTTGCTTAAAAAGACAGAGATCGCTTTTCTAAAAAAGTGGGTTTTGCTTCATTTTATTGTGTATTAAAGAGTAACTTTTCTTGGCTCTGCCACCAAGGACGTTGGGCTATTGCTATCTTGTTGGTTAATTAACGGGCACTTTCTTGATTCGTTCCAGGATTCCAGAAGATATCACAAATCTCCTTGGCACAGTAATGCCTTCATCACCATGATCTACTGGGGGAAGAGGGTACACCTGAATCATGATGACATAAATTACAAAGACGAGATCAAGATTTATCAGCAGCACTGCGGCGGGGAAAACCTTTGCGTCTTCCAAGGCAAACTCCTTGAAAAAGGTATCAGTCCCACCAGGGAGAGTTCTCATGCAGGGGCTGGAGGTGAGGGTATGGACAAAAATTACCAGCCCTGCTCTGAGAGCATATCCTGGGATTTATAGACTACCTGCCCTAACGCAAATAGAGATTTACTGCTTCTTAGCGGGTAGAATTAAGGTGGCAATGGCTCTCGTGGATTGTGCGAGAAAGGAGGTGGCATGATTTAAGCAGGCACCAGATGAATTCGAGGAGATTATCCAAAGGTTGCAGGACCAAGCTGTCCTAGAAGGCCATGCTTCCTGGTGGGGCTGCCATTGTGAATTATGTCATCACTTATTCAGAGAGAAATCTACCAGAGGATGGTTTGCTCTGCACAGATTCTGCCTTGACCTCAAATCACAAATCCTATGGATGTCACTGTGAAGCATGGCCCTCGTGTGGTGGGCAAGTCTAGGATCTGGGATGAGTTTTCTTGTTTGTATATGTCCATCGTTACTTGGTCATAGAATTAGCTCCAGACCATTTGCTCGTTGATACGGTTTTTCATGTATCAAATCTCAGTATCTGACTTTTGATATTCAGCTGTACATTAGAGTTTTTAACATGTTATTATAGGGAGATTGGCCTTGGAGACAAAAAGATATGGGTTCAAACCCCACCTGGTTCAGAATAGCTATGTGACCATGGGCAAGTACTTTAACCTTTCTGAGCCTTGGGCAACTCTTGAAGACTTATCTGTTAAGTCATAGATGGGTTGCAGTCTTTATTGGCAGAGGGAGTTCTCACACTGGAAGTTTCCCAGAGCTGATGAAACCGCAGATCTCTCACATATCCAGCCATGTGGAACAAGAGTGAAATGGAAAGTTGTAACTGTGCTTTTATTTCTCTTAGACATTAGAGTTTTAATAGCTTATGTGGGAAAATATGTCTAGAAATAAATGTCATCTTTAAGGACTTGTTTCCAGATATTCATTCAAATAGAAACTTTTCTTCTGATCTGACATTCTTCATGTAATGGTGGGGCAGGAAAGAAGTGGGGAAAATTGTTGCTTTCAGCCATCCTGGCTTTTCCTTGACAAAAAATAGAAGGAGAAAATTCACAGTGAAATGGATTGAGTGTGCAACTTTGGGTTAAATGTGAGAAGAAAGTGGCGAATTTAGAAATGATGTCACAAAAAAGCTCCTATCGATTGTTGCTCAAAAGACAAATGGGCTACAACATGAAGTCGGGGGCTCCTTCTCCCTCGAGGTCCCCCGGGAAAAGCTGGATGCCCAGCTGTCAGCTGGCCTATAGTGGGAAGTCATCATGAGGAAGGAGCAGGGCTCAGTGGAGGCCCTTGTGATTCTGAGATCAATACAGTGGCAGAGGAGAAAGGACAGGGGCTGGGTAGTCAAGGAACCTCCTGGTTCTGTCACTCACTCTTACCTACGTGACCATGGGGCACTCACTCAATCTCTTTAGGCCTCAATATTTCCATCTGCTGGATGGGTGGGTTGGGCCAGATGACTTCTCAGTACCTTCTAGCTCCGAAACCAGGGTCCTGTGATCTAAACACTGGGTTCAGTGACTTCCTCCCCCATAAAATGAGAGATCTGGAGTTGGGTACCTGATCTAACCTCCTCATTTTATAGATGAGGAAAACTGAGGCCCAAGGTGCTTAACTGACTTGTCTGTTTAAATAGAAGTAACGTAACTAGAACTACCACCTATACTCTTTGTATGTTGTGTGTGTGTGTGACTGTTAATAAGCCAAAATTTTGGTGTCTACAAAGCACTTTTTTTTTTTTTGTGAGGCAATTGGGTTTAAGTGACTTGCCCAGAGTCACACAGCTAGGAAGTGTTATGTGTCTGAGG